GACATTGTCAAAATACACATGTACCTTCATATCTTTTTCTACATATGTCTTAGATTTGACGGTTATCATTTGCATGCACACATGATTAGCTTCTGCATTAGGAGATAATGCCCATGTTTGTATAGAACGCTATTTATTTTGGGACAAATTTTAAACCTTAGAAAGTTATTCTATTTTGGATAGAGGGAGTAGATGATTAAAACAAGCGATCACCATGTTTGGTCCGGTATAATTGTGTAACTCCTCCAATCTTTTGAGCTGTGTCACGGTCATATATATGTTCCTTACGGTGAACCTCCAACATAGCACAAGGGCTCATAGTTCTGACTTATTTTATATGTTTAGTGGTGACAACCGCAATCATCGATAAAAAAACTTTTGTGGTAAAGTTGATAACCCTAAGATCTTATTAGGATGATTGTTTTGAGAAACTACAACATTAAGAAAAAATTTAGTTTTAGAATAAGATACGTGTAAAACCACGTTTTAAGATGAGATGGTTTGAGTGGAGTTTCTAACAAACTTAGGTGGTGTTTGGTTCTTTAGTCGCTCCTAAAATTCATGTCACATCGAATGTTTAGATACTAATAAAGAGCATTAAATATAGATTAATTACAAAACCAATTACATAAATGGAGGCTAATTTGCGAGATGATTTTTGAAGCCTAATTAATCTGTCATTAGCACATGTGTATTGTAGCACCATCTTGTCAAATCATGGACTAATTAGGCTTAAAAGATTCGTCTCGCAAATTAGTCGCAAGTTATGTAATTACTTTCGTAATTAGTCTATATTTAATACTCCATGCATATGCCTAAGCATTAAATGTGATAGGAATTTTAGGAGCGCCTGTAGAAACCATACAGAGCCTCTATCTCTATGGTGTGCTGGAGTACATAGTACTGGTCTGTGCCTCTGTGCTCTGTTAGACTACTATTACTTGCGCGATTGCAAGAGGGTTAACTGACTAAGCCTTGCTAATTCTTCCCCATTCTCAAATCTGAGTTCTGTTTTAAAGTTTAACTCTCCCCGATCTAGAAATTCCTAAATGATTAATTGATTATTATGTTGATATTTGTCAAGTCAGAGTCGAGGAATAAGATTGTCGGAGGGGGTAATTGGTTGAATTATAGGACGATTTGTTATGTTAAACTAGATATCTTTGCAAGCATCAAAGATGAACACAATTTGTATCAATTATGTTGTGTATTCGAGCATGGAATTGAGATATCATCTAAATTTATACATTTATAGGCTAGTTTATTATCTATCATTATTATTAGGTCCGGTGTGGTTAGTATTTTAATCCGGTGCAGAACATTTATGCACTTTGACAGTGGCCCTAGGCGCCAAAATCGACAAGCTCCGCCACTGGATGTGGGTGCTCATATATTTTCTGGATTTATTTCAAGATTTAACGGTGTTAATCTTGAGATCATCCTTCGGAGATACTCGTAGAATAAGTATGTTTCTATGTTCGTAGGAGTGAGTGTACACATATATGGATATCTATGTTGTACTGTGATTCACCACGTAGGCTGACAACGTGGACACTAAAAGGAGTGGCGCCACAGCATCGACTACACCTTAGCTTCCATCTTTTTTTTAAAAAAAAAGTATGTTGTCACTAACATGTTATGAAGAATGGTGATGAAAGTTTTTGTACAATAAATAACCTACTTATATTAGAGTAGTTTAAAATGTACAATACTCCAATTTTTTTTGATGTGTGCAAGAAAACACGTGTACGATGTGGAGCCATAATTTCTACTCTATCTATGACCTAGACCAGACTATGGATTAGCATCTTTTTAAGATCTAATAACTAGGAATTAGTAGCATCTATTGGAAAGGTTTGGTACTCTTTTGGCTTCTTTTCGTCTGAGATCCAATCGGAATGACTGAAGAGCTCCTGACGTGACGCGCGGAAAAGGACCGCAGAGAATTTCTCATAAGAATACAAGTTTTGATAGACAGGCTGATTAGCGTCCCTGTCACGTTTCCATTTAGTAGCATGCCTACCCCAGGAACTGTAGACACACCACAAGCAAAATGAGGATTATCTCGATTCTACACGCCTTTTGTTTTCCCAAACTAGTATAAATGCTAACGCCCACGTTAACCATGCATGCACATCTTATCTCTATAATCCAGTAGTCGGCAATCCCTCCTGTTACCGTAAAAAAACCTTATATCTCTATAAAATGTCTTCCAGAGATACACAATTGGTAGATTTAAAGATCAATTAGTACTTAAATCTTGGATATATGATATCAGCTGCAAGTAATCTAACCAATTGATTCTTGAATCCTACTACTAATCATTCTGTTAACAATAGCATGACTATAGATACTTATTGCCAAGGAAAATAATCTAGATACTCCCGGTCCCATAATAAATAAGTTTCTAGAAATTTTTGGATAGTTTAAGGACATTGTCAAAATACACATGTACCTTTATATCTTTTTCTACATATCTCTTGGATTTGGCAGTTATCATTTGCATGCACACATGATTAGCTTCTGCATTAGGAGACAATGTCCATGTTTGTATAGAACGCTATTTATTTTGGGACAAATTTTAAACCTTAGAAAGTTATTCTATCTTGGATGGAGGGAGTAGATGATTAAAACAAGCGATCACCATGTTTGGTCGGGTATAATTGTGTAACTCCTCCAATCTTTTGAGCTGTGTCACAGTCATATATATGTTCCTTACGGTGAACCTCCAACATAGCACAAGGGCTCATAGTTCTGACTTATTTTATATGTTTAGTGGTGGTAAACAACCGCAATCATCGATAAAAAAAACTTTTGTGGTAAAGTTGATAACCCTAAGACCTTATTAGGATGATTGTTCTGAGAAACTGCAACATTAAGAAAAAAATTTAGTTTTAGAATAAGATACGTGTAAAACCACGTTTTAAGAAGAGATGGTTTGAGTGGAGTTTCTAACAAACTTAATATGTAATTTTAGTAACATCATGGTTTTCAAAACTATAAAGATCGTTAATCTAGGTAGTTTATAGTTTTTCACAACCAAAATATTTAACAAAACTACGACTTTCTTAAAAATAATAAAAACACTTTTTTTGACAACATAATAAAAACACTTTGATGGGAGTGGGTAAAATGTGTACGTATTCATAGGACATGGCTAGTTCGGATCTGCAGTCGCAAGTGCGGGGGTGGTCGGCGCAGAACGAATCTGTATCGGCTCGAGGAGCTCTCCGACTCCGTCAGTGTTGATGACCCACGAGATGGATCCGACCATGAAGATCTGGCCGGGCTGCGGGAGGGACGAAGAGCCTGCGGAAAAAGCCATCTTGTTCGATAAGGAAACAGCACGCACACCCCTACCTGGCGCGTCAACTGTCGACAAAATATTGTCGGCAGTCCTCCAAGGGGTATCCCACGAATATAGATTGATCGGCAAAGGAGCGCGTGATCAAGAACAATAAGGCAACAGAGACACACGAGTTATACAGGTTCAGGCCATCAGTATGACGTAATACCTTACTCCTGTGGTCTGTTGGTTTGTATTAGCTATCATATGATATGCCGTGATTTTGGAGGGGGTCCCTGCCCGCCTTATATAGTCTGGGGGGTAGGGTTACAAGTCGGTTAGATCTGAGAGATAACCGAAAAGTAATAACAGAATACAAGAATCATGTGATCATATGTATCCTAACAGATCTCGTAATATCTTCAGGATATCATCCCCATATCTTGCGGGAGGCGCCGAGCAGAATCGTATCCCGCAAGGCTTTATCTTATAGGCTGGACCGTCCCTAGGAGCGTAGCTCATGTGGTCCGCCGTGGGTATCCGGGGTCATACCCCCCACAACAAATGTGTGCGCGTCTACTTCATCCATCCTAAATAGAATGAAGACTAGTCAAATTTCTAAAGTTTAATATATTTTATAGAGAAAAATATGAACATGTGTCTAAATAGATTTATTATAAAAATATATTTTATAATTAATTTAATGATACTTTGTTTAACAAAAAAATGTTAAGACTTTTTATATAGAGGTGGTTAAAATTAATATTGTTTGACTCTAAAAAATGAGAATGACATTGTTTATAGACATGGCGAGTATGGGCTTGTTACTTGTCTGAATTTTAGAGGAATCTGGATGATTTGGAGGAATGCTGGAGAAATTTACGAGAGGAAAACATAATTTTAGATAAAAAAAATAAGCTGATAAAGTCAGATTTAAGGGCACACGAACGAGTGTTTGTGTATGTTCGTTTGTGTTTCTAGGAGGTGGTCGGGCCAGCCGAAGAGACCAACTCCTCCCAAGTCTCAATTGACACGTGGGCAGGCTACTGTGGCTTTCGGCGCCGTGCGACAGATGCTGGTGACGCGCCACGCACGGGCCCTGCCGGCTCCCGCAGCAACCGGCAAGCCCGCCGCGAGGCACCCCACACGGGTCCTCCATTCAATGACTACATGGTCCCACCTACCATGGCCCCACCTGTCACACGAACGCGCCGGTCCACCGCCGGTCGCAACGAGTTGCCGGTGGCCGGGCCCCGCGCGCCCACAGCGACAGGACACAGGCCGCGCGCCGCTCTCTTTACCCCGGAACCACGCGGCAGTTTTTCCACGCGTGGCAAGTTACCCTTCCACCCCTCCCTGTCCCCCGATCCCGTGCACCCGGCGCACGGACATGGGCCACATCCCACCGCCCAGACCACCTCACGATCCGCGCGCGCTGCGACTGGCTCACGCACCTGGTCCATACGACGCGTCCACGCGGAAGTCAGCCGCGCAGCCCCGGCACTGCACTGCACTACTCCCACCGGCCACCGCGACCGCTCGAGGCGCACCTACCTACCCATCCCGGCATCCCCACCTCCCGCCCCGCGCCGAGCAACGCCCGCTAGGCTGCTGCTACCCGCAGTCCCCACCCCACCGGCCGCGCCACCGCAACCGCCGCCTCCGCCGGGGTCGCGTTGACCGCCGTTGACCTCCGCCCGGCCAGCCGCCTGCCATGGACCCGCGCTTCCCGCCGCCGGCGCCGTCGTCCTGCTTCGGCGGGGGCGGGGGCGGGGTGCTCCCGGGACGGGGGCACCACCGGCGGGCGCACTCGGAGACGTTCATCCGGCTGCCCGACGCGGACCTGCTGCTGGACCCGGACGCGGACTTCGGCTTCTCCGACATCGACTTCCCCTCGCTCTCCGACGACTCGCCCGCGGCGTCCGACCCGACGCCGCAGCCGCAGCCGCAGCCGCAGCCGCAGGCCCCGCCGCCCCAGCAGCAGGCGGCTTCCCCGGCGTCTGCGGCGCCGCCGAGGCCGCCGAGCATGGCGCACATGCGGAGCCTCTCCCTCGACGCCGCCTTCTTCGACGGCCTCTCGCTGCAGGGAAGTGGGGGAGGCGGAGGCGGCGTGGCCGGGCACAAGAGGAGCGGCTCCATGGACGGGTCCACCTCGTCGTTCGAGGGCGAGTCCGCGCCGACGTCGTCCGTGCTGCCGGACTACGCCAAGAAGGCCGTCCCCGACGACAAGCTCGCGCTCCTCGACCCCAAGCGCGCCAAGAGGTGAGCGGGCAAACGCCATCCGCGTCCGCGAGCTGTCTTCCCCCCTTGAAATTGCTTCCCCCCGCCCGCAGCTTGAGATGCTCGATGTAGCTGGGACGCGCTACCTTGTCCTGTATCTGGTCAAGTCCTGTCCTGGTTTGAAGATCCGTATCCTTGTCGCGCGTTGAATTTCTCGTGGTCGAACTGAGGTGTAATTTTCTGGTTCCGCGGTGGTCCTCGGTGTGCAGGATCCTGGCGAACCGGCAGTCCGCGGCGAGGTCCAAGGAGAGGAAGATCAAGTACACCAGTGAGCTGGAGAGGAAGGTGCAGACGCTTCAGACAGAGGCCACCACGCTTTCGGCACAGCTCACGCTTCTTCAGGTAACGAATATTTCCTTGGTTGCTTTGACCAGGCTTATTGTGACCCCTTCCAAAGTCCCGCTTATCCTTGGACAGAAAAAAAAAATGATAATCTTGTGGTTGGGTGTACGAAACGTATCATTGCTCCAGCCAGCGCTAATTATTTGACTGGGGCTTGTCTCGGCGTACTTGTCTCGTGCTACAAGTACCACAATAGGAGATCAGCTATCATTTTATCCCACCGCTCGAAATCCTTTGCTCTCTCAAGTGGGAAAACGAACTTAGCTGACTCAAACCTTGGCTTGATTCGATTAACTATATAAAGAAAGCAAAATGTTACCATCACTCACATCCTCTCCTTATGATTGGCTAGAGTAATGGTTTGCTGTTCTGGCTTATCAATTTCACTCAGCTAACTTGGGTTTAAAACCTTTTATATCTTCTCCTTACTAGAGTTTTGCTGTTTCTTGAGGATTTCTTCCAAATTTAATTACCTTTGATCTTCAGGGTCAATTTGAATTCTCTCCTGGCTAGTTCACGGATAAATTTCTCCTGCGTCACAGGGATATTGTACCTTCCTTTATTTGACCATTTTGTAAACGATAAGGTCACAACTAATTTATAGGCATTCTATTATGAATATTTGAACTCGGGATTTTGAACCTTTGATTACAAATGGTGTATGTTGGAAACTGTTTTATTATACTTAGTGAATGCATGCTATTTCCTACCCACCAAGTTCTTTCCATGTTTTGAGTTGCTATTAGTGCCTTTTGGTGTTAGTACGACTGATTGTCAGTGTCATTTGGTTGAGTTCTAGCATTCCTTGTTAGTACTCAATGTTTCTGTACACACAAACTTGTTTTTCTCGTGAGAAGTTAAAATGTTTCTGCCATTACATTTCTTGTTTTTCTCTATATTGTAGGATTGTAGGTGAATAATTTTGATGATAAACTCACCCGCTTTATGTTCTGCCTTTGCTGAAACTATCATGAGTATTAATGTATTATGCTATCAGCAGAAAAGTTGCCCTCCAAGTTGCCTTGATTTCCAAATTTCTTAGGCATAACACATTAGTTTATGTAGCTATCCACTCTACAAGATTGAGATTTTGATACACTATCTTATGAGTCTTATACTAAAGAAACGTCAAATGAAGTATCTCCCGAGACATATATATATTTTGGATTTTACTACAGCCTGCGCGTGCAGTATTTGAATCATCCGACTGCACACACCAATTTAGGAAAGAAACTATTTTGGTTGCCAAAAAAGGGGAAAAAAACAGACCAGATCTAGGGTTTGCCAGCTCCGACGCCCTCGCCCCCGCCGCCGGCCACCACCCCTCCAGCGAACCCTAGCGCCCGCTGCGGCCGCCCTCTTCCCCGCCGCCCCACCGCCGCCATCTTCTCCAGCTCCGGCGAGCCTCCCCCGCCCCGACCTGGCCCGACCGCCCCTACCGCCCCTCGACCTTCCCCACCGCCTGGCCTACCTGCCTCCCCCCGGCTGGCCGGCCATTCTATACCCCACCGGAGTTGGAGAAGAAGGGAGAGAGAGCTCGCCGGAACCCTAAAAGTCAGATCTAGCAGCAGCAGGAGGAGGAGGACGAGGGGCCTACCTAGCGGTGGATCCGCCGCGGCCTACCATGGCCGCGCGCGGGGGGAGGCGGTTGGGGCCTGGGGAGGCCGCTGGGCGCCGGGGAGGAGGCCGCCGGGCGCCGGGGAGAAGAAAGACTGGCGGCCGGAGAGAGAGAGCGAGAGAGTACGAGCGGGGAGGGGACGAGTGCGGGCGCGGGACGCGGGGGTGTGCGCGAGGGGTGTGCGGGCGAGGAGGAGAGTAGCGTGCATGCGGTCGTCACGGAGCGTGCACGCTCTTAAAGTAGCATTCCTGATATATTTTATTACTAGATATACTAGGAACTTAGTAAGTAATAAATGGGCATATAGTAGCATTGGATAAACCTTATTACATTGTGTATACTGTTTTTCTTTTCATTTTGTATGGTCCTCATGGAATGGTTTCCATTTCTCATGGATGTAGAGTAGATACCATGTCTAGCTGTATGTTCAGGGGATACTTAGAACACTTCTTTTTGCTGCATGCTCTGAAGCAGAATAACCTGATTCATGCAAGTGTAGTTGCATCTTGAACTTCTGGTCCTATATGGATTGTGAATGATGTGCCAGTGGACGTGTGAACTAAAAGTTGCCATGTTATTTTGCAGCCAAGCAACAATAATTCTATATGCGTGGCCAAACTTCATGGCCAACACAGCTCAAACATTGCAATAAATTTTAAGTTCTCTATTTAACAATCTTGCCTGCAAGTATTGTTTTAGTTGATGTGACTGCTGAAGGATTTATTACACCTAAAAGTAGGGTCATAGTGGAGATGCCTCTGTACTTGTTGATAGGGTCATGTCACAAATAGATGTTCTGATTGAAGGCTGAATTGATTGGAGATGAGGAATCAGATGGGGTGGTGTTAGGCCAGAAGCTTTGGTTTTGGTGGTAGGGGACAGTTATCCTTTATTTCTCTCTCTATATACAAAATTTGGCCAGTCATTTAAACGGCAGAAGAACCAGAGTAAAAACATATTCTGAAGTGTTAAACTGGATTAAGAATTTGTTGGTGAGTAAAACTACCTTTTTAGCTATTTTGATATTTTTGGATTGGAATGAATTCAAATTAATTGCTCCACTGGTAATCATCCTTAGAACTCTCTGTGGTTTATTGTCAGGATTATTAGCTTATGCATTTCTTTGTTTTAGTTGGTCATCGTCTCGTGCAATTGTTGGTTTTGTTGCCCTTAATGTATTTATGGTTCAGTACATTCTAATATTGTTTCCTTTATCATGCTGCAATTTACTTATAATGCAGAGGGACACCTCTGGTTTAACCACTGAGAACAGGGAGCTGAAACTCCGGTTGCAGGCCATGGAAGAACAAGCTAAACTTCGAGATGGTATGTCCTAGTCTTTCTTTGGAAGGTGTTAAGCCACTGTCATATGAGGCCCAGAAAGAGACTCACTTTTCCTGTTTCAAGAACATCATGGGACAAATGATATCAACCGAGCAGTTATCTCCTGACCAAACTTTATTCCCCTAAAAAAATAGTTTTCTTCTGAGCAGATAAGTAGATATTAGTTGAACTAGCCTATCAAGCAACTCGTTGAAACCCCGGTTGTGTTTGATGCAGCTCTAAATGATGCCCTGAGAGAAGAAGTCCAGCGGCTCAAGATAGCTGTAGGGCAGGTCCCTAACATGAACGGGAATCCCTTCAATGGAGGACTACCACAGCAGCAGCAGATGCCAAGCTATTTCTCACAACCACAGCAGATGCAATACTTCGGCAGCCACCAGGGCCAGCATCACAATCCGAACCATCACCCCCAGAACTCTTCAAACGGTGGTGGCCAGTCCTCGAGTGACTCCATGGATTTCATGTGAGGACTGAGGAGAGACAGCTCAGGAGTTGCCTGAGATCACATACCAACTTCAACTAAAGTACTGTAAAGGTAGCTGATGTATACCATATTCAGTATGATATGAATCATTGTAGGTTAGCTAGCTGTTCCCTGTACCATTAATCAAAAATTCATTCACGCATGACAACCTATCATCGCTTTTGTTCTGGGGGTTAAAGTAAAATGGCTTGACTGGTTGACGAGTTGCGTGTCGTTGTTGCCCTGTAAAGTTTTCCCTGTAATAGTAAAGGAATGGTTTCCGGTCGAAACTCGTGGTTCTCAGGCTGCTGAAAGCCATTGGCATAAAAATCATCAGATTCAGTTTATGAAGTCTTCTATTCTTTGTTTTATCTTTTGTACTGATTTTTTTCCATTTTTTAAGAAAACGGAATTTTTACTCTGGTCTCTAAGAGTTTGTACACAACTAATTCATTATTATGGATCTAGAGCAAAACCAAGCAAATGTGTTACGATATATTAAGCAATAAATCTCTTAAAAGACATGCTTCAGTTTGCACCAAATATAGTTGCGATACTTCTTTAGAATATTTTTATCGTTTTGGAAAAATTTTATGGTTTATGAGGAACAACTATGCTATATTCCTAGGACAAGTATTCTTTTAATGGCTTCCAGTTGGACAGAATTTCTTTTCATAAACCATTATTTAATTTCTTAGTTCGAACACTATTTTCTTCAACCAAAACATTTGGATTTCTTATGTGGACCAATTTTTTAAAGGCGAATTGTCATTTTTCTTGTCACAGTCTCACAATCAGTTGAGGCACAGGAGCCCATAAATAAAGAGGTGATGAAAAGGATCCAAGAACCGAAGATTTCGCAAAAATTGTACGAGATGTTGGTGGTTTAAGTTGTCACACGCTTCTGAAGAGTGTCATGGCCTCATGGGCCTTTAGGTCTGGTATAAGTGGATGGTGGTTTAAATTTAGTCGAATTACTTCTACTCTTTCTATGTTAAATTATAAGTTTTTTAGATATGTTCTAATTCAAAATTGTCTAATTCCGATCGAGTTTATTTTATATCCTTGATTTATTTTTGAGGGGTGCATTGACTTTATTTATTCAGTAGGATAAGAATTACAAACTCCATCCAGAGACTCTAAAAACTAAACATGTCTACCTATCGATAAATTTAAAGAGCTTCTATTAATATATGAGCGTTGATATTTGACTTTTGTCCTTCAAAGACGAAATCCGCTCTAGTAAAACTCTTTCTTCTAACATTTATCTCCCAGACAATTGATCCATACCTGTCGATGAGGTATCTTTTTAGATAAATGATTTTGAATTTTTAGAGTATCGAGCCTATCAGTGCACTGAAACAAACCTAGACCATTAACAGAAGGAAAAAGTCCACATTACCTCCCTCAACTTTCGCGAAAGTCCGTTTTTCCTTCCTGAACTTCAAAACCGGACAAAACACCTCCCTCAACTTTTAAAACCGTTTATCTTACCTCTCTGGCCCTGTTATAAGCAGTTTTAAAGTCGGTTTTATCTTTGTCTTTTTTATTTATTTCGGCTGAATCTTTGAAAAATCACAGTAAATCACAGAAAAATCATAAAATGGAAAATCCAATTTTGTTGGACTACACATGAGTAGATCTACACAGTAAACACATAATATGGTATACTTTAGTACAAAGTTTTTGCTGTGTCTTTAGATCTATACTTTTCTATAATTAATTAGAATAATTCATAGCTGCAGTTTTTATGATCCAATTGTGATGAAATTTTTATAGTGGACTAATTATTATATGATTGAACTGTAGTAAAAATTTCATACTTATTGGATCATGTATAGCTTAGTTATAGATTTATTTATATTAAATTTTAACTACAGTTCAATCATATAATAATTAGCTCATCATAAAAATTTCATCACAATTGGACCATAAAAACTGTAGATATGAATTATTCTATTTAATTATAGAAAAACATAGATCTAAAGCTACAACAAACACTTTGTACTAAAGCATACTATATTATATGCTCACTGTGTAGATCTACTCATGTGGAATTCAATAAAATTGAATTTTCCATTTTATAATTTTTCTATGATTTACTATGATTTTTCAAAGATTCAACCGAAATAAATAAAAAAGAAAAAGACAAAACCGCCTTCAAAACCGCTTATAACCGGACCAGGAAGTTAAGATGAACGGTTTTAAAAATTGAGGGAGATGTTTTGCCTGGTTTTGGAGTTCAGAAAGAAAAAGCGGACTTTTGCGAAAATTGAGAGAGATAATGTGGACTTTTTCCTTAACAGAATTTGCCTAGGGAACCAGTTATAAAGTAGCCCAGCCCATACCCCTTACATTTTTATGAGGGGAGCCCATACCCCGTACATGAGAGACGAAAATGAAGCCGAACTAAGTAAGCCCACGAACGCATGCACACCTGGTGAGGGCGACACGTGTCCAGCTCGGCCCCTCCACCCGTCACGCGCCGAAGCCGCCTCCCCCGGTCCTTGATTTTTTTTGTTTTTTAGCCCTTTTTTGAATTTTTTTCACAAATATACACCTGGAGGTATGCTTTTAAAATCTGGACCCTTAGCTCGACGCCATCGTTGGTGGCGCCGAGCTTACACGTCTCGGTGCCATAGATTTTGGCGCCTAGGTCTTGGGCTCGGCGCAGACGTGGCGGTGACTTGGCAGGCACCTTGCCGCCGTAGATGTTGGTGCCGAGCTTGGTGCCATAGATCTTATCGCCGAGCTTGGCGCGCCGTGGTTATTGGCGCCGAGAATGGCGCCAAGATCTATGGCGCCGAGGCGGTGTTTTAACCCGGCGTCCAACCTTCCTGCTCAAGCCTTCTTCCTCTTCTTTCTCCTCACTCTCGAGTTTTTTCTCTCCCCACTTCGCTCTACCACACGAATCGACATATTGGACCTTGGAAACTTTGATTTGATCCGTAGATCTTCGAGAGCAAGGTATCCTCGCCCCCTCCTAGTTTTTTTTTTCAAATCGATTCGGTATATATTAGTCAGATTTTTCAACTTAAGAATAGTCATTACTTAGGGTTTCATGCAATTTTAATATTTATATTATACAACCGAAGGATGCCAAGGAATGAAAAGCTACCAAACCAAGGTAACCTCAGCGCACATTGTTATGATATGGGTTCATTGTTGTGGATCAAATGGGAAACCCTAGGTGTAGGGTTTAATGTTAATTGCTTTTGGTTCTTAGAACGAAAATGGCTAAATTGTAGTTATGGCCGGATGACCGGAAATGTCTTCGACCCATTGTCTCTGTCTGGTGGTGTTCCAGTGCCCATGTGCTTTTGTGGCAATCCTTGCAAGATAGCTAAGTCCGATGAAGAGGACACGTATAGGCAGAGGTATTGGATGTGTTCTAATTTTGCGTTTGAGCCTACACTTCGTCAGTGCCGCATTAACAAGATGGTGAGGAATTGAAGTTTGTGTCATATGACATCTTGCATGATTTTTTTTTTGTTTTGTAACAATTGCATTTTTTGCAGACCTCTCCACCGCTTTGTGATTTTGAGCAGTGGATCGACACTGAGATCAAGCCTAAAGATAAGGAATGGATGCAGAAACTGTTGCGGTGGGAGGCAGAGGACAAGGAGATGATGGAGAAGAGACGCGGAGAGGAAGCTGCAAAAAAGGAGCACAAGGAAGAGGAGGAAAGGAGGCATGTTGCTGCGTACAGAGAGGAGAGGGAGAAGAAGCTTGAGCGTGCACGTCGAGCGAAAGCAACGATGGAGAAGAATCCTGATGCCCTGAGGAAGGGAAAGTGGCCTCGTTGCACTCAGTAGTCTCCATTACTTGCTAGTTCTAAGGTTTATTCATAAACAATGTTGTCTACTGTTGGACTTTTCATTGTGTTGTCATATAATGCACTTTAAGTATGGGCATGCTTAGGTCATATACTGCGTTATTTAGTTTGTCGACACGTACTTCTAGTATTATTGTGTTGTTTAATGTGTCATAGTATTGGACTTGTCATTATGTAGTTGTTTTCATTATTTATGGTCATAATATTCAGTTTAATATTGCGGACGTAGTGAAATATGATCACGTGCTATAAACAAAACCTAATGAAGTAGGTCATTATATAATTCAACACACAAAATACATGAAATGGCATGTGAGAACATGTACCGAACTAGGGTACAGAGGTCCTGAACTAAACCTAACATGTCTTAGGTAATTAAAGCGAACAACAAGCACAAGAAATGACATGTAAGAACATGTACCAAACAAGGGTACATAGTTCCTTCGACTAAACCTAATATACCTTAGGTAATTAAACCAAACAACAAATATATGGATGTGCCATGTGAATAAGATAGGGTCGTCCTAGTAGTGTGGTCATATAGCAAATTATGTTGCACCTTCTCCACAGTAGCCTTCCATTGTTGGTGGTGGTGGTGGTGGGGGTGACGGTGGAGGCCCCCTGTTCTTGTGATTAGGGCAGGTGCAATATGGATCATTGCAGAGTGCCTCCTATGAACTTGCACCATTGTTATTGTCGTCGTCTTTGTCTTCCTTGTACCCGCTGCTAACTTCTCTTTGTAGATCGAAGATTTGGTTCTACAGGTAGTAGATGTACTGCTGATGCGGATAAATTGGTCGAGGATCGACCCACCTAGTGAACCCACAGTTTTCTTCGAACTCGGAAGACTACAATAAGTATGTCCTGTGAGTTGTAAGGGTATTCGAGAAACATATTTAACAAATGAAATGTAATAGCAATTACCCATGCTCGCGGACATTTGAAGAAGCGACGACCTCCGTCAATCCCCTCGGTGAACATCTGCACTAAACAATCCTCACCATGCATGCATTTTGACCAATCTTCCTTCCTGTTATCGTATCCTCTGAGAGGGCACTCTTTAGTGAAATCACTCTTGCTGTCGGGGGGAAAACTGATACACTGGTTCCTCAAAGAAATCATGCCCACGAGACCTCTCCCACACAATGGGAGTTCCCTTCATCCCCCCT